TGCAATGGCTTGAGCAATACATTATTTCAAAGAATCTACTTTCCATATTATTAATAATAAATATTTAATATTATCCTTCAATCCATATTGAAATCAATTAATAAGAGCTTTGTCATTCCATTCTATATTACAAGAGAGAATTTAAAATTCAGTAGCATATATGATAGTTGACAATGATCTTTATTGTAAATATAAGAACTTTGTTTCTACTATTTTTTTTCAATCACTTTTTCCAAATGTGGCCTTAAATTCTTTTAGGAATGAATTAAAATCATAAAAGAGTTGTGAATCATTTTCCATCAAAATTACAAACCAAGAGAGAGCACTTCCAGATTAAAGTACGCCTATGAATCCAACTTGATTAAATCTATCAAGATAGTGGAAAGGATACAACTTTAGATAAATCTTGATTTATTGCAAAAATCTTTGAAATTTTGATTTTGTTCCATCAAAATTTTTGAGCATACTAATTATTGTCTCTATCATATAAATAGAAGCAAAACTTCTTGGATTGGGTTGTAAAGTTGATCTACTTGCTTCTTTCAATTATACAACTTTTTGACATAGATTCTAAACTTCTTCTATAGGCATAAGATTAGTGTTTCCATAGTTGGCACTAGTGATGTATGAAATTGCCACCCTAAGAATGTTGACAAATTTGTGAAGATCTGCAATAGTTATAGATTTATTCTTACTTTTGCTATGTATAGAATCAATGATTTTCCTTCTATTTCAAATAATTTAACAAATCTACAAGTCAACTTAAAAGAGGATAATCTATAACCTCTAATATCAAATGAAAATTTCTACAAAAAAGGATAATTTTTTCTCTTTAAAAAAAAATAGTATTAAATAACTAAACAGTTTATTTAAACATATGTAAAATACAATCTTCAAAACACAAGAAGAATAATAAGTTAGCACTTTTGTCAAATTATCAAGGACATAAATCCCAAAGAAAGAAATCCTCAATACACTCTTGTGTCATTCAAAAGAACTAAAAAATCACTCAACAATAATATAGTATTACATTAAAATGACTATTGCCAAAGACAAGAAGACTAGAAAGACTTGAAACAAAACTAAAGACTAAAAAAACATTGAAAAAAGTGAAAAAGGCTTTATTCTTACCTCTATATATACAATCTAATAATGAGTTATGTGGCAATGTTCTATAGGACCTCTAAAATGTATTGACTTTGTAACATATGTATTTTAACTTGCAAAGTAAGTTTTTTATATAAGCGCCATATAGTTAGCTTGTTCTGCAAGCTACTAATATGTGTGGCACATGGTTCACTTATTGATCAAGTTTTTAACCTATCAATCATTTACAAATACATTTAAAGTCAAAGTAGCATCTATGAAGCTTCTGAAAAACTTTTCTAGAAGATATTATGAAATAAATCTACTTTTACTTAGTTTTATTTAATCATAAAGGTAAATATTAGAATAAATATATATGTCCATGACATATTGTCATTAATATATTTTATATTTAAATACATAATAATTTGATAAAGAATATATATTAATAAAATTAATGAAGTATATATATATATATATATATATATCTTAGTCTACCAAATATATATTTAATACTATTATTTTTTTTGTTTTGAAGCTAAATTTATCTTTATGACATGCACTTTCAATTATAATTTGATGAAGAAATTTTGGCTAGTACATCCTATCAAATTGATATGTTTCCATCTAATCAACTATAGTAGGGTTTTGATCTTATAATTCAATAGATGTTGTCAAATATTCAAATATATTATTAATAATATGGTTTAAAAAGTAGTGATTGCTTTTATCTATTACAAATCAAATTTTCAATAAGACATTAAGAGAAAAGTTTTTAAAATTAATGTCTATCAAAATCAAAATATATAAATACTTAATAAATTGAAGCTGGCTATTTCAACTTGGTTGTTATTACTTTTCAAGGATACTTACTAAAGTCCAAGAAAAAATAGCCTAATAAAAGATATAGTATCTTAAAAAAATAAAATAAAATCTAATCTAATAGACAAAATAATATTTATCAATTCCAAAGTTGCTACCATTACTACTTGATTTTAAACCAATAACCTTTAGGATGTACTAAAAAGATATATATAAATTTTAATTAAAAATATATTTTTTCTATTAATAGAAAAATTCTCTTTGAAAATCAACTTCTAAAGATGTGATTTTATTGAGTAATATATAATCTTATACTTTGTGTAGAAGCTTCTTTGTACTATTCTTATCTTCTTACAATCAAATTATATCTTGAACTAAGTTTGATAAGTTTTTTAATATTTTTTTATTTTATTAAGAAAGAGGTGAAATTCTATAATAAATAATATGTATGACATTTGTTAGGGACATATTCCTTAGAACTTTCTAGAGAGAAGTTTCTAGAACCTTCTAGAAAACAAGCCTCTGGAACCTTCTAGAAGAGAAGCCTCTGGAACCTTTTAGAGAGAAGTTTCTAGAAGCTTCTAGAAAGAAAATCTCTGGAACCTTCTAGAAGAGAAGTTTTTAGAAGCTTCTAGAAAGGAATCCCCTGGAACTTTCTAGAAGCTTCCTAGTTAATAAAAGTAGCTCGAGAAGTTTCTAGAACCTTCTAGAAAGGAAGCCTTTGGAACCTTCTAGAAGCTTCCTAGTTAATAGAAGTAGCTCGAGAAGCTTCCTAAGTAGGAGTATATATAGGGATCGAGGCTGAAGAGTTCTTCAGTCTTGACAACACATCTCTTGGAGTTCTAGCTCACCTTTCTGGTGTTGTTCTTGTACTCATCTGTTTAATCTAGTTCTGCTACTTCTTCTTGAACTTCTTGTTAGATTTCAAGTCTATATTTTGTGTCCGTGACAACATTAAACAAATGTATATCCTTTAGTACATAAAGAATGGTACAAATTTCAAGTGGATTACCCCTCTACTTGAAGGTATACTAGCATTTTTTAGAGGTTGCGGATTACCCTCCTGTAAACTGATACTTCTTCTGTTACAATAAATTTTAGTAAAAGAAGAAAATAAATAAATAAATAAATCATTGTATACAAGAAAACATGTTCTTACTGATTTATTTAAGAATATATATATATATATATATATATATATATATTTAAAAACTTTTATTGAATTGGATTAGAAAAATATATCTTCAATACATCTACAAGATTTTTGTAACATATATACGTATGTATATATATATATATATATATATATATATGTATATATTAATTATAAAAAAATAAGTTAGGAATGTAAGTGTTGGCCAAAAAATAGATTTAGACTTGTAGACTAGTAAACAATCGAAAAGATTGGGTATATTTTGTATATTTGTACATATATACCATATATATGTGTGCTTATTTATTTATTTATTTATTTATTTATATAATAGTTTAGAAAATTCATAGTTTTTTTCTATTTTAAAAAATATAAATATAACAATAAGATTGAAAGTGCTTTTATCTCTAAGCTTCCATTTACACTTTGGTGATTATTGGAAAAAAGTACTAGAATTTCTAAGAGTAGTAAATACTCCATGTCTTGTCAATTGTTTAGTTTTTGATATTGGTTTTTCTTTTATGTCATTGTTTTAAGTTCGTTATGTAAAAATTATAATTTATGAATAATGAGATACAACCAGGCATTTCAGCATAGACAGCACATAGTATATAATGTTACATGGTAAAGCCTTCGTATTGGAGTGCATACTGTTTCTTTTTATCTTAAAACTTACATGTGTTTTTATTTTATTTTTTGAATTACAAGTTTAGAATAATTATATTAATGATAAAAATATAATATCTAAAATATGTTATTTTATTTTATTGTATGCAGAAATATTGACAATGGAATGAATTCACATGACTTTTTCCAATGCCACTCTTTGCCTTCTCCTTTGCCTTTTTCATTCGCCTTTTCTTCGCCTATTCCTTTCCCCTGCTTGCTCGGTTGCTCGCTGTTGTGGGTTGAAGTGTCTTCATCTTCTTCGTGCCTCGAGAGACTTTCATTATCTTCACGTGTGCGCCATGTTTCCTCACACCCCAATTTCCCTCCGCGAATTGGCACTGACACCCCCACTGCCTCACTGGTGGACAAACATCCAAAACTGGAAGCTAAGGCAGTGGACTGCGATTCCACGATTTCGATTCCAAGGCGCCACCCGAAATCAAATTATATATAAAAATAAATAAAAATATGAGTAGGCGTGGAAAGCTGACGATCTTCGCCTTTGGCTGTTCCATGTGATAGTCCCCGAAGAGCAGCCCCTCGCATTGCGGACCCCACGCGTTATGTCAGAGGATTTGGGTTGCTGTGAATGCGAAACTAGCTCCCGAGCTATGCCCACCTGCCTCCCCCCCCAGATGACGTAACTGTGTGGGAATCCTGAGCCCGAGACCACGCTTGAGCCCCAGCCAAGGTTTATATTTAGAGTGAGCGATAGCCTGGATGTCAGAGAATGCATCTGGGTTGTGCTCCTATTTAGCCTGCCCCTCGCGAAGTACGCACATGGCGCATGCGAGAGCTCTCTCTTCTCTGGAGCGAGGCTCAGCGCGAGGGGTGATGGCGTCACCGCATTTCGTCGCCCTGCTCAGTCCCTCTGAGCTCAACCCCCCCTGTAGCTGAATTGCCAGCAATCCACCATGGGATTCATGTTGTTGCGCACTCCTCAACCCTAATTTATGTAGATTTTGCAGGATTCTCATTCCGTGTCCATTAATATACAAACAAGCAAATGAAACTAAATTGCACTAAGACAAGTGTACATTCCAAAATGTTTTGAAGCAATCTGGAGTGTGATCGCACTTTGCTTTTTGGGCTGCATACTGATAAAAAGCTGTGTGTGTTTTAGTATGACAATTTTGTTGAGAATAAATGGATAGACAGAAAATTCACTTTTGAAAGATGGGAAAGGTTAATATTATAACAACAACAACAACAACCATGTCGGGAAACCTTGTGAATACGTGCTTCGCAAATCCTCATTTGCCTACATGTCTTATCAAAGGGACCCCGCATTATACTTGTATTTAGAAAGAAAGCACTAAATATAGCTCTAACCAAATACCTAATCATGACTAGTGGTATTCTTCTGTGCCATTTAATCGCGTAGTTATTGCGGCTCCGTTGGCGAAGCTCTGCCCTATCTGTAAAGGCAAGTTGCTAGCTCACCATCGAGTCTAAACCACAGTACGCTACAAGGAACACTATAATTAGCGCGGAGAGAATGAAGAGGGTCATATCGTACACTTTATCCATCTTGTGGTGTAGAATTTTGTCACTCGATTCTAGCTCTAGGTGACAATTTAAGACTTACAGGCCATATGGAACAGCCTCGGAACAGCCTCGGAACAGCCTCAGTGTCCTAAATTTGAAATTAATCGATGACTTCGGATGCTGCATCCCGAGGTCTTCTCTGTGTAGGGTCTCTGAGCTGACAAAATGTTCAGTGTGAACTATCCTCACTATACTTGGTGTGGACAAGTTGGGCTTATCCTCACTAGACTGGCATTGAGGTACATGATCGCCTCCATTTTTTCAACAAAAGTTTCGAACCACCCCAGAAGTTATCCGATCTAATAAATCAGGTGCTTTTCACCTGCTAGCTCCTAGAAGTTTATTCTGTTCCATTATCTCAATCCAGGCTCATATCAATCAATGGGAATACTCAATACGTGATATAGATTAATCCGCAAGGCTAGAAGCTATGAACAAAGAGTTTCCAGGAAACAACTCTTACTTCCACGTAAGAAAGTATGCAAATGGAAGATGAGTAAAAAGGAAAATACAAGACAGCAGATATTGCTGTACATAAGATAGCAACAGAAAATCTTCTGCGGCAAAGGAAAATATGTAATCTTCGGCGGAGAAACGCGGCATATAGCTCAAACGCCTCTGCTTCAAGAAAGGGGATGCAGTGTGTAGCATGGTGTTGGAGAAGTCATGGGTCCAAAGTCATGGATCTCGGTTGTCCAACCGCCCTTGACCTTCACCACAGAGAACATTCGAGACTGGTGTTGACACCCGCTTGTCATTCTGCCACGTGATGCGGCCGAACAACCCGAATTTAGAAAATTCAGGTACTTTCGTTCACAATCTCAGTACGATGATACTTGAAGAGAAGTCTCACTCATCCGTCACCAAAAGTTGAAGCTAACTCTCCACAAACCCAGCAGAACATGCGTTCTATAAATTTGCTTCATCAGGATCACCTGAATTCACTTCCCATTGATTGGCTACCGGGTCCCATCTTGGATCACCAGACTCCCCACCTTCCAACTCCTTCCGTCTCTTCTTCGCTTGCCCGTGTCTCGACCTTCGAGGTGCTTCATCCTCGCTTTCACTGTCTTCTTCGTCAGCATAGCTTGCAGAACCTCCAATAGGCAACTGTTGTCTTTGCCCTGAAACGAAACCGAATATCGATCAGAGATAAAGGATATTTTACCACACTAACAAGACAATTTCACTCCAAACATTTCTCTTCGTTGCGTGGAAAAAAAATGTGAGTGTGTGTCTGTGTGTAGGAGATAAGAACAGAACTTAAGGTAGAAATAGTAGGAAAGTCCTAGGATAAAGTGAAAAAACTGACACGAATTCTGGTCATGCCGGATGGAGATTAGATATGCATCCTACCTGCATCAGCCTGAGAGCTTTCTTCATTCGTCGAAGCAGAAGGATTGGAACGGCCTTTATTACCACCTGCTCCTCCTTTGTTGTGCCCACCGCGATCACCACGCCTCCTCTTTGGCTGTTCTCCAGGACCTCGACCGCCCCTCCCAGCAAAGGGTGGGCGGAAAGGCATATTCATTGCCCCTCGGGGAGGTCCACGGCCCCCCATAGGAGGACCACCTGGACCATTGATGAAGGGTGGTGGACGACCGTCTGGACCCAACATTGGCCCTTCTCCCATCATACTATGAGGTAGCCCCATCATCCCCGGTCCATTCGGCCCCATCATCATGCCGTTGGGAGGAGGTGGTCTGCCTGGAAATCCCATAGGACCAGGACCGTCCATATGACCAAAATTTGGAAATTCTGGACCTGTTAAGCACAATTTCGTCAGAAAAAAAAAAAAAAAAAAAAAAAAAAAAACCAACATAAAGTATTGCAGATCTACATGAAAAGAAAAAAACTCCACAATTACACATGACTGTTACCAACTTCATTGACTTCGTTTAGGCGCATAAATCCCTCTTGAATGGAGCCTATCAAGAGCAAAACTCTACCTTCGTTTCTTATACCAGCAGAGGACTTATCGCTTTTCAGGAACCAAGATTCATGATTCATGATGCAGATCTAAATCCAGTGATTAGCCTGACACCCAAGTCCTTCCAATTCGATGATCAGGGTATCTATCGAAGATTCAACAAACTTCAATTTGAACACCATATAATTCTTAGTACAAGAGACTCCTGAAAGGTTGAATTTAAAAATTAAAAGAACAGAAAAAAAAGTGAAGAGTGCTTAGGCAGTCACGAACCTCCGAAATTAGGTCCTGGACCACCAGGATGCCCAAACGGAGGGAAACCTCGAGCAGGTCCCGGAAGACCTCCAAAATGATCACCGGGACCCATAAACCCGCCTCCAGGTCCCATGAACCCACCACCAGGTCCCATGAATCCTTCTCCCGGTCCCATAAATCCATCTCTGGGCCCCATAAAACCTTCTCCAGGACCCATTCCATACCCATCATAGCCCATCCCAAAACCCTCGCCCCCCATCTCTGGGTGGAAGGGTAGACCTCTTCCTCCAGGACCATTCATCATGCCCCTACCTCCTCTGCCCATCCCGTCAAATCCTGGGCCTTGAGGACCCCACATTCCCCGCCCCCGTCCGATTCCCGGTCCTCGACCACGACCACCAGGACCTGCATTTGCTGGAGACGTGGATTGACTGTTAGAGTCGTCCTCTTCGCTGTCATCATCCTCAAGTTCATCTTCATCGTTGTCCTCAAAAGGTATTATATCTGCTTCTTGCTCGGGCTCCTGCGCGCCCCGTGCTCTTTCATCTTCTCGCTTCTCCTCTGACTCCTTGGCGAGTGTCTGCGTTAAAACGTATTTCAGATGTAAGACCTGATTATTAGCCATTCACAGATGCAACTTCACACAGAGTTATTTCAAAGTCAAATAAAATCTAAAACAACATTTCGCAGATAAGCAACGATGAGAAATATACATCATGATCTTTTTGGCCGCTGGTAAATGGTCAAGGTACTAAATAAGTATGGGCAGTACAGAAAGGTAGAATTTACCATGAGGTCAGAGTCAGGCTCTTGGTACAACAAGAGCGCCAGTTGCTCTCCTACACTTGGTTCCAGCTCTTGACAATCTCTGCTGATCTGTTACCATACCAACCAAAGGAGAGCTTAAGGTCCTGTGATTAGCACAGAGAACCCAGAAAGGCAAAGTATAAACGCTCATGCATTAAGAAAGAACCTTGTTTTAGCTAAACATACCTTCACGGGCATATTCTCATTGTAAGAATTCCGTAAATGACGCGTCTTGTAGAATGAAAGTTCACACAGCTGCACAAATAAAAACCCAGACACATTTTAAAAGACGACGCGCATGTACTTTCAAGAAAAACATTTTGAGTACAAAAAACTTGTTGCAACATTCACAAAATAAAGATAAATGATAACATCGCAATTCGTGATAAAATGAACTCCATCATAGCAACTCAAGGGTGATGATCTTAGGTGATCAAAAAAATCTTGAATGGAAACCCAACCTTCAGCCACTTCAAGCGGAAGTTGCGGCCATAATTTGCAGTGCCGTGAGCATACTTCCAGGCTCCTCCACCTGCAACGCCTCCTATCTTAGACATCATTCGCGCGCAACCCTATCATGTAATAGTGCATCCAAAATTAGCACAAGCTTTGAAGACGCGTCTCACACTAGCCTAGTGAGAAAAAAGCTTTGATTCAAGGTAGACAAGAAAAGTATCGTGCACACATTCTGTAAACTCAGTTCATAGTCATCACACTGCTCGATGATATATATGTATATATATATATATATATATATATATACACTTGACCCTCAATGTGTGCATTTTTTTCGCAAAAGTCAATTAGAATTTACACCATTTATGGGAAGACGATCTCACCTGAAAATGTCGAGTTTCGTTGACTGAAAAAATGAATATGACGTGCTCACACGAGTCGAAGGCGTCATTTAATTTTGCCTCATTGTTACGATGTGTGGCCCAGAGTCCTCGTTCAACTGATAACTCCAAGTTTTCTCTATTACTGCTCTTCACGATAAAGTATCTGCAAATTTTGAAGTCGAAACATTTTAGGTTATGATTAGTCGGTTGTCGCTACCTCGAGAATTCTCAAGCCAATCCATACCCACCACTTAACAAACCCCAGAGAGACTCAAGGATGCGCAGATACGAGAAAAAAGCTTAAGGATTCAATTTCCACTCACCTACAATACCCGAGCGGCAGTGGAGCAGCGATTGATGGAAAGGAGGTAGGAGGAATAGGTCCATTTGCCATTCCTGACGCAGGAGGTAACTGAGGTGCCACTAGTTGTGCAGGGAGGCGGGATGAGCGAGGTGGTTGCGCCTCCTCAGCAGTTGCCCGGCCTCCCGTTTGACCACCCTCCGAATTACGAGCAGGTGTATGTTTGCCATGATGTGTTGTGGTTCCATTGGTATTGGGTGCGTAAACCCGATGTTGAATCTTTTGAAGGTTTTGATCGACAGATGGTGGCGGCCCTGGCAACTTCTGGTGACGATAGCGACAATCGGGTCCATTCGGGCAAAACCCCAACTTATACCTATTGCACACAATTGCAAAAAAATCAGTACCCTGCACACCAAATGCTTGGTTTCGAATCGATAGTCAACAATTTATATCGAGGGACCACATTTATTTTTAGAGACCTAGTGAATTATGCAAAGAACTATGACTATTTTTTTATGTCACACGATGGTCTCTAAACATACGCAACTATGGAAACGCCCATATTGGAACCAAGATGATACAACAAAAAAAAAACACCGAAGCGTCAACCTAGTACATATGAATGCATAATCAGGTCGTTTGCATGTTACACCCATTTTCGCAACAGTAACTTATAATGACTAATTTTTGTAACTAAGACAAAAAAAATCTTGAAAAATTCTCAAAGGGCGTATAAGAAGACTTGTGAATAGCTCAGAGATGATCAGGACCGCAGAAAATAATTTTAAAATGAACAATAATCTTACATGTTACACTCTTTGATATCTTCATTGGTGTGCTTGTAAATACAATCCGGCTCGCGGCACTCTCCAAACTTGGCAAAAAACCGACACACAGGCATCCGCGCCTTATCAAATTGGTGCAAGAACCCACAGGCATCGCCCTTCATACATAGACCTCTCAACCAATGTCTGCACACTGTTTGCCTGTAGTTCTTCCTCGCTTGTTGGTTTTTAGGAGCAGCCAGCGAGGACGGAACTTGTGCGTTGTTGTTCACCGACGCCTGCTGAGGAGCACCCGTCTGAGGGGGTCCTGCAGCAGCGACAGCCGCCTCCAATCCGCCCTCAAAGTCAAAACTAAGCCCTCCATCGGCGTCCTCCATAGTGCCACAAACAATCAGCGACACATTCGCTGCTCCTCCACGTCTCCTGCCTCTACACCCTGTGAAAGAAACAAAGCGCCTGCCGTCGCTCCGCACAAATACCACGCTTCAAGAGTTTTAAGCGCAAAACCCTAGTTAAATGTCCAACACCACCTCGCTTGAAAAGCAAAAAAAAGAAAAAAAAAAAAAAAAAAAAGGGCTGCCGGAGAACTGATTTCACCCTCGCAAAACTCCGCTACACACAATGCTAACTCCGAGGATCAGCGATGGAAGCTGCGTGCATCGCTTCCTGATCACATACGACTCCGTGACAAATTCACGAGTCTTGCGAGTCACCCCTCTACGAAGCAACTCGATCGAGCTACCCTCGCAACGCGGTAGAGCAGCAGAATGGACGATGCCGACGACGACGACGACTCATTGAGCCGCTCATCTTCGTTCGTCCATTTGGATGGATGATAACTCGGGTTTCTCGTTCGTTCGTTCGTTTGTGTGTGTTTTAGTAAAAACTTGGGTCTATTTAACATTCTCCCAAAACAATGAATGATTAAATAAATCCAACTGGTTATTGCATGTTTTTTGAATTATCCATGTATATATTTTATGATGTAATTAAATAAAAAAGTATAAATTTATTTTATATCATGGCAATTTTTGCCTAATATATAATATTAAAAAAAAACATGTATTTTTTTATGATGCAATGATTTTAAAATAAATTAATCAAAATTATAAAATATTTAAAATAATGCTATGTATCTTATGTTTTGAATGTTATGTTTGAGTTATTTTTTATAATATATAAAGACTACATAAAGAATACTGATGCTTTTTGGAATAATTTGACTGTAAATTATCATGGTGTAAATTAAAACAATTGATATATCAAAAATATATATTGACCCAACTTACAATAAATACATATGTGTAATATGTTAATATATATATACAAATATCCACACACACATATGCACACTAGCAAAAATATTAATTATTAAGCATAGAAATATTCTAAGAAGATGAGTAATTTTACACAAAAAATTCTCCCAATTGCCTCCATCTTAACTTCTAATGCAAACCTATATTGCTAAAAACAATAATAAAATTAATAAAATATATAAATTATTTACATAAAAAGATATGTTTTATTTTATTTATTCTTTTTCATATACATGTTTGTATGCATGTTCTTTCTCCACTATTTATCCAAGTTATATATATAGAAGAATATTAAATAGACCTAGGTTTTTATTAAATTGGTCAATTTAATAAAAATTATATCTATTTAATATTTCTATATATTTATTTATATATATATTTTCTAAAAAAACTCCATATTTATTCAAGAACTAGCTTTTTCATTACTCCATCCACAAAAAAATACCTTTTTGAAAATTCCAATTGAAGGTCTTAATTTATTATAATTTTTTTAGAAACTCAATTTTGTAAACCACCCTCATCATCCAAATTATTGTATACATATTATTTGATATAGGAGAAAGTGCTTACTTTAGTCAAATTAGCGCTTGTGTTTGACAAGGTCTACATTCAAAATGAATATGACTATGGCAAGCCATGAGCTTGCTTGCGGCCATGGCAAAGCTTCAAGCATGTCATAGACTCTAGTAGAATGACAATTTGAGTGCCATATGCAACTTCAAGCTCACAAATAAAAAGGAAATTTGAGGATCCATTACAAAAAAGAAAGTCCATCTTTGTGAGAGTTTATATTATAACAAAGAAGAACAAATGTTGTTAGAGGAATTAAAAGATGTTGAAAGAATTTTGGACAGTGTGCAACTCGAAGAAATTAATCTAGATAGAGGGAGGATATATACAATTCTATAATAATTTGAAGAAATTTGTAAGGGATATGACATTTGGAGACTATTAGCCTTGTGAATTGTCGTGCTTTAATAGTCATTTTATTATAATATATTGCTTGAATAACGGATTTTGAATCTATTTGTGGATTAATGCTTTGTATATATAAAAGTGTGAGATTTGATTATTTTTTCCAATTTTTAGATATTGATTACTACATTTTTGTTCAATATATTTATTTTCTTAGATGTGTAGGAATTTGTAGGATATTTTTTGGAAATAACTTGTGAATACTAAGAAAATATTTTTTCAATTTGTGAGTATTTTTCAAAATTGATTAATAGAACTTCCGTATCATTGGAATTTTCAAAATTTTGCCACATGTCACATGTATTTTTTTTTTTTATCATATCTAATGTTTTCAACTCTTCCAGTCGTTTTACTAATTATTTATTTATTGCAACTATTTTTTTGATATTATACATCTATTTTGTATTTTAGGTGGTAACAAAACTATAGATGATTTTATATATCAGATCTAATGGTTAAAAAACTACCAACTTTTTTTCTTTTGTAGGAAGAATTTTTATTAATCAACATTTGTATTTTGTATGCACCTCCTTCATGCCCTTCTAAGAATGAAATGTCCAAGTATTGTTCATAAGTTTAAGAATATAAAATATTGAGGTAGTTTTTTATTCTTAATAAAATCTTAAATGCAACAAATATAAAGTAACAAATTACATTGATAGATATTTATTTGAATTTTCATGTCCATTTGATTTTTAAATTGTATTTTTTTTAATCAAATTTCCAAATTTGTGACAATAATAGATGAAAAGCCATGATGTCGTGACTTATATTCACGTTACATTAATTAATTTATTTTCTTGCAATTGTAGTTCAATCTTTATGCAAAACTTGAGAGATGTGCATCCATCTATATTCCTAAGCATAAATTAAAAGCTCGGCTTTTCTATAATTTTTTCCTTATTGGTCTCAAGAAAGATCTGCACCTTGTATTAAATAAATATCATACACAAATCAGCTAAAAGAGTGAATTGAAGAATTGAATAAACTCATTGAGCACCACTAGCATGGTGGTGGATCAAGATTTAGATGCACTATCTTTTATTTAACTTTTGCTATTGATTGAGATAGTTCAAAGTTATAAGAATGATAATTAGATGATTTAAATAAATATTAAATGATTACCAATTGGCATCTCAATGTTGAAGATTTCAAAGTTTTTTTCTAATTATTCTTTATTTTAAAGATTAATAAATTATCATAGATGTACACATGTAAATCAATAATTACCTATATGATAAGATAAAAGAAGATAAAAATATGTTAATTCTATAATATCATCAATAAAAACTTATTAGAAGCTAGATAGACAATGCTTTGACTTTATAGGTGTCTATAATTGATTTTTTAGGTTAGAAATGTGGTCAACAAGTTGGCCATGTACCACACATATTGGTAGCTTGAAGAACAAGCTAACTATGTGGCCCACATGTAAGAAACTTCCTTTATAAACTAAGGCATGTATCTTGCAAAGTCAACACTTACTAGAGATCCTATAGAACATCACCATGTAGCTCATAGTTAGATAGTATATATAGAAGTAAGATTGAAGCCCTCTTCACTCTTCTCAACTCTTTTCTTACTTCTAGTCTAGATTCAAAAGTCTCTAGTTTCCTTGTCTTTTGGCAATAGCCATTCCATTTTCTTTTTCATATATATATATATATATATATATATTTTTTGACATGGATTTTACAAGTTTATGTATCTTCTTTCAATTCATGTCTTTGATAGATTGACAAGAGTACACTTATAATATTAGAGCTTTGTCTTCTCTTAATTAAGAGTAGATTATTTTTTTTTCTTGATAAGACATAAGCGTATTAGAAATTACAGATTATCCTCTTCTAAACTAATATTATTCTTAGTATTTTCTTTATTTTCAAGTCTTCTCTTATCCTCATCTTGAACAATATTAGATATTTTTTTTTAAGTATTATTATGGCAGAGCTAGTTGAAATGAAGAGTGCAATGGCACAAATGCAAGAGCAATTGAGGGAGTTAATGCTTGCAATGCATTAATTCAGTTTACTACCACAAAAAATAAGAAGAATGGTAGGAAGTGAAGATATAGATATAATTGGAGCAGCTTCAACATCTGTATTCAATCATGCCTCTTTTTTTATAGTAGAACATCCTTCTAGTACTAAAAAATCAAGAGTTGCCCTTCTTGAAAAGTTTGATGGCACAAGATCTAAGTTTTGAGGATTTATCAAAGAAGTACAACTTTTGATTGAACTTCAATCCCAAAACTATCCAATTCCAGAATCACAAGTTAGATTCATTGGTACATTTCTTTCAAGTTCAACATTATCATGATTTTAATTTTTTCTTAAAAAAATAAGATCCAATATTGGATAATTTAGAGGCTTTTTCAGCAAAGTTCTATTCCATGCATAGAAAACATGATGTAACTTATATTGCAACCAATAAGATGTGTATTTTATGACAAAGCAATCAATCTGTAAAATTATATGCTTTACAATTTTAATAACTTGCAATTGATATCAAGCAGGATGATGTTGCATTTATTATCTAATTTTTCTATGGATTATAATATGAAGTAAAAAAAATGATGCTCAATCTACTTAATCCTCAAACATTGAGTCAAACAATTGACTTTGCTATAAAATGCGACAATCAACTTTTCAAATTTTGATCTAAGAGTCTAACAAGTGGGCCTCAATGTTATTATAATTCAGTAGCAACACCAATCCCTCCTCAACACATACATTTGGAAGTAGTCAATATGCAAATTGATGTGGTATGTTTCAAACCTTTTATTAAGCAAAAAAAAACTCATTGGTGTCAAAAAGGATTGTGCTTATATTGTAGAGAACCTAAGTACATTGCTTGATATTATCCAAAGAAGTGATGTAATTATAAAATAAAGAGTATAAATGTCAAAGAAGTGAATATATCAAAAAATAAGTTTATCCGGCTATAATAAGGATTGTGATTGTATAATATGTTGTCTTGCTTGAAAATGCACCAAACACGTAGCTGTGGAAGGTGAGGTTGTATTTTACAAACATCCAAAAAACCTTAATAGATTTCATCCATATGAAAAGAATATAATCCAAATTCTCATTCAAAAATACTAAAAAACACTCTTTTTAGTGGCCTCAATCATACATAAATATTTATTACCTTGTTACTTTTATATTTAAGCAATTTTGATTTTTCTTATAAGTTCCAATCCTAATTAGTGAGTTTTGACAAGTTGTAACTTCTAATTTGATTATCTACTTGATGTGAAATTTTGTATGGAATTATCGATGTAAGTCTTCTATACGCTCAAGAATGTTTAGCCCAATCCAACTTATAGATTGTGAGAAAACCTCCAAAAACTGCACTGTCGCCACTTGGTTGCCAACTTAAAAAGTGAAGCAAAAGTTCCAGCAGTGATTTCTCCTTCTTCAATTATTAACTTCAATTCAAAATTGGTGTACACCTCAATCTTCAAGTC